CTTGTCTCTTCTCGCTTTCAAACATCGTTTAAAAATATCGTGACACCGTGGTCTCTCTTTTTCTTATATTTGAGTTTATTTTAAGGTTGTCATATTAACAGTAAAGTCATTAGTGACCACCAACATTTAAATATATTACTTATTACTTAATAATACTTAATACATAATGGCTTAGTATACAATAATATAAGAATTGCATAATACAAGGCTTTCGGAATAGACATAACTTACTTATAAGGAATTTAGAAAGTTAATTTGTCTGAAAAACTTAAGCACATTCTCGATACTGATGGGATCATTTAGGTTCGTCTTCATATCAGATTTAATGTTACAGTTGTTTTGTTTTACAGGAGAATCAGGGGTAATTTATTAGAATGTCTTTAATGCTTAGAGGTATTTCGCAAAGTGTGTATTTAGATGGAGGTGCTTTGATAGTAAATATTCGTGTGTTTATCTTGAATCGCTTGATCGGATGCGACACCCTGGTTTTGTTATTGTCGAGGGGGTGTATGGTTTTTTCAACGCGTCGATGTAACCGAGGATGATTTATGAGCGGAATATCGGACGAGGATCGAACCTGTCTTTAATGTGTACACAACTCTCCTTTTTTTTGGTGTCGCAAAAGTATGTCGGGATTAGAAACGAATCGGAAAAACATGTTAATCCCCCGTAGCTATCGTTGCAACGCGCAAACGCGGTTGTAAAAAATTCATCTAGGGACGTGCGGTTTTAAAAAAGATACACGTGGAAATGAAATGAAAAATGTTTTATTACTGTTACGCGGAAGAAACGTCTCTAATGAACAAATCATGTGTATAAATAGACCGTACGATTGAATAAACATGTTGACGATATATTTTGTATTTATTTTCCAGATTTATTTAAATACGTCCGTTAATAAGGAAAATACTGTTCGTTTTAGTTTTTGATTTTTCGCTATCAGCTCGCTGAAACGTAAATACACGCTCTCAGATAAATCTGTTCGTGAAGTTATACGCTTCATCGATACTCATTATTAATAACGATTTGTGCCTCGATGGACTTTAGGAATATTATTTATCGTTTGTTTCATTATTTCGTTATACTTTCGTTTGATGTCCGATGGTCGTGTCGAAAATTATAGACTATTGTATCACGATTTTTTTTAACGAAGTTCATTCAGCGCGGATGTCCCATTGTATGCTGGTAAAACGTTCTCCGCTAACGTAACTGAATGTCATGATAATGTATAGTTTAATCAATTTTATTATAAGGATTTAAATCGAATCTTTTAGTAATGGACATTTTAAAAATTTTTATTATCCATTTAATATTTAATAATAATCTTTATTATTAAAACCATTTGAAATTTGTTATTACTTTTTCATGATTAATTCATCCCCGGTATTACGGTACGTATCATAAAACACCCTGTGCGAAGTAACATATTTCTTCTTTGATATTGCGCGTATACCAATTTTCACCAAAACTTTCCATCCTTCCTTTATTAACATGTTGAATGAAATTTATATTTTCATCTCCAAGTGTTAGTTATTAATATTCATTTATTTAACACTAGAGCCACTCAAATAATTGGATCAACTGTTCCATATTTTCTCATAGAATTATAATAATATATATAAATTGTTATAATATTAACTGTTATATTAACTGGTATAATAATTATTATATTAATCATTACAGTAATTATAATATAACATTTTTTTATTAATGAAATCATAGATAATAATATATAACTGTTATAGCAGTATAATGTAGTATATTTTAGATCGTATATTATCAAATCAAAATGAGAAATCCGAAAAATTGTTATTCATATGAGTGGTTCTATCGTCAAAACGTTAATAATTTCCTTCATCCCTTGACGAATTCCTCATACTTTGGTGATTGGGCTTTTCATTTTTCCATAAAACACCTCTACAAGCTTCTCCACTAATGTCAAGTCGTGCAAGCAGCGATAGAACATTCGATTTTTCGTTGTCAAGTGACTTTATGATTTGTTGGCCGTGGCGCTTCATGTGTCGTTACATTGAACGCAGTTTCCGTAGCATTTCTCTTTTGTTTCTTTCGTTGCCTCCCCCTCTAGCTTACGGCGTCGACCCTTCAACGTTTCGACGTATTATTTTGAAATATGAACACGAACGTTCAACGTGACCGCTATTAATTAACACGTTCAACGCCGCGTGCACTAATTTGGCTCACGGTGAAACTCATTTCCACGCTGAGCGATGTTCTTTTACGTCATTGATAAATATATTTCAAAAATGCAGTTGTATCATCATTTCATGCAAGATAAATCTTTAAACACTCGCATTGCGTTTTATAACTGCAATACGCATCGAATAAACGTTCTGGAAATGTTTCTCATTCAAATTTTTTAAACAAATTTTAATTTTTTACTTTCTCGATACATTTTTACATATTTATTCTAATTTATTTATTTATTTATTGTAATCTATTTATTGTAATCCATTTATTGTGCTTTATAAACATTTATTGAACTTTTTCTCTGCACCATTTTCGAACAATTAAATTCGAAGTAAATTCGAATTGAAACCGAGAAGGGTCGATCCGAGGACACTGCGCCGTGTCCATAGAGTATTTTAGTTGTAATCGTTACAACGAGACTCGGATTAGTGCAGCCCATCGTACCCCGTAACGATTATTTCGTCGTTGATTTGTAATTTATGGCAAGTATACAGTCGTCGTTGTGTCATAAATAAAACATTAGCGGGATTAATCAGTCGATCGCGAGTAGCATCCGCGATCTATCATAATTCAGCAGTAGCTTACCATAGCTTTTATTACAACCAGTTATACGCGAGTTGAATAATAATATTATTCACGTCGGATCGCTATGGAAAGTAAATTTAATCAATTTCTGGAATAGATTCGATTTCGCCCTCCCAGTTTTAGTACTTTCCGACGGTCTCGATTCGGGGTGCACTAATCCGGAGCTTAATGTGCTCGTACATTTTTATCGATTTCCAGCGAATGCCTCAGTGTTATTTACACGAGTATACTGTGCGAAGTAGTTGATATTTTGTGTTCGTGTTGCGTTTCGTCAAGGTAAATTTTTAACGATGTATTCTGGCCATACATACGGAACGTTGAGAAATGAAAAGTATTAAGTCTCGTTTTATATTTTATTGTTTCATTTCACTATAATTAAAGCTATTATAATTTTTTATTTCATATTTCATTATTTTACTTTAGTATAACTAAGAACGTTATAATTTTTATATTTTATTTTTTATCTTATTGTAATTATCTTATTATAATTTTTATATATATTTTATATTTTATTTTATTTTTATTCTTTATTTCATTATAATCTTAAATACTATACCTTCGCTATATATAGAAATTCGGAATAACAACGAAGCGAAAATCCCTCTTCTCAATTCGTTTTAACTCGCGCTACTTCCATACAAAGATAAATTATACTCTTCATATTTTATTCGAAAGCTTTTCACTTTCTTTCAATTCATCTAATTTATAATATTTATTCGCACGTTATAATATAAATTGCACATAGAATATTAAAACGACAAGATTTCAAACCAACCTGATGATACGCTAATACCATGCAACGAATTCTCGGTTCACATTATGTATAGCCAGTAACGTAAGTACGCGCGTTTCCCGTGAGAACGTTGCAACCTTGTCGTAGCCAGCAGACGAGGCAAGTAGCTTTTTACCGTATGATAGAGTTAATGTCACGCCGTGTCGTCGTAGCAGTACACCAGACCGCGCTTGTCGTTGATCAAGCACCGGTTAATTGCCTCCTTTAATTACAGGACCATGCCAAGGAACTTACTTCTTCCGGCTCAGGGCTGATATCGTCTCGCGGCAGTTCCTCCTATCGTTCGAGCGCAACTTGTTCGGCGATTCTTGGACCGTCCGCTCGGGCGATCTCCGCTTTCGCCAGATATTGTATACATTTCCATGCATTAACGCGGTTAATTTCTGTTATTCAAATGTCGATGGATCTCTTGTTTTTCTCGACTGTCCACCCACGGAAGAAATGAGTTGCCTTTCAGGTCGAAGAAACACGGAGGTTCGGTTCGAAACTTTTGAGGAACACACATTAGCTTGTTTAACAACGTTAATAGGTTGAATGCCACGAGAATTTTCAGTGTTTTCCATAATTTTACTTATGAAATAAGTAATAAATAATGGAATAAGTAATAATAAATCATTAATTATTATTAATGATTTTGTATCACAGTTCTTACCTGACGCTGCTATATAGTCACTTTCATTACTAAATATTTTTATTCAACGCCAATTTTCTTCTTGTAATCGTTTTCAAACAATTTAGATGCTCCTGTCAACCGTGACCGCCGTGGCAGTCAACGTGTTGAATATTTGCGAAACGTGACAGTGATTTTGCAGTGGCAATAACTCGAACTATTTAGATCATCTGATACTTGAAGAAAAAGAAAGCTTTAAATTAATAGTAGAGTTTATTGCATGCGTATCAAACGGTAGTCCTTTCTATCATACTGTGATTTAACATTTTTAACGCTGGAACTTCTGAATTGACATTTTCGTATTTACGCGTGGAAACTGTAAAACTACATTCATTTAAATTTCGATGAACTGATAGTTCAGCTTGTGTATTACTGAATCATCTTCTTCACTAAAACCTTTTCAATAATAGTGACCAAAGAAATCGGAAATGGATGACCCATCTAATATTTCTAGTGTTCATTTATTTTTTCGATAATTCCTTCTTTTCGAGTAATAACATTCAATAATCACTTGCATATTAATTCACAAAAGAATTTTATATCCAGCCATTGCCTACTGATTAAATCGTGTGTCCTCAAAGTTTCGTATCGAGGTCAATTAATTCTTACCGCTTGCATCCGCAAGCCAGCTCTGTGCACCTTCTGCTCGTTGTGATAAAAAAATAGTTGGGGCTAATGAGAATATAATCATTGGACGTTCCTAATGCTCTTCACTGTTCTGTTCCTGAAACGCGTTTCTATTAGACGACACTTGCCGATCCGATCAATTCACGTGCGCCAACAAGCAGTGCATCCAGCAGAGCTGGGTATGCGATAACGATGACGACTGCGGGGACGGCAGCGACGAGAAGGATTGCAAGCCATTCACCTGTCTTCCTGAAACGGAGTTTGCCTGCTCCGAGAATCACTGTATACCGTCTAACTGGAGATGCGACGGTGACGCTGATTGTCCGAATCGCACCGACGAAATCGGATGCAAGGTTTGTAAACAACCTGCGAAGAAGTCTCATGCGCTTTAGGAAATCCTAATCAATATCCTTTAATGAAAAGCTTGAAATCTTTTAGCAATTCTATTGGAAACTGATAAGGTGATTTTCACTTTAATCAGGATAACTTTATTCTAGAAAAATGTTAAACTTTACTGATGTCATACACTTCTTGCGTTGTAAGTCTCCGGTGAGAAGAACTTTTCTGTTCTTTTCTTATCTGTTTTCTTTTAACCCATTTTTAATGCAGTACTTAGCCAAACAAATTGGTAACACACAAATAAAGCAAACATTAAAACTAAGATCTCAAAATCAGTTTTGATAAGGCAATAAATATTTTGTCTAAATTTTCTATGTAAACCGAAAAGAAGGTTTGAAAAGTCTTTAGTTACTTATCGTTAAAACTGATCATGATTCTCTCATTTTTCTTTTTGTCCTTGGTATAAGACACTTAAATTGGTTTCATATGTCCCAGGAATCTGCCAATGGCCATCGTTCCAGCCACTGTGGTGCAAAAGAATTTGATTGCGGAGATGACATGACATGCATAGGTCAAAATTGGGTGTGCGATGGCGAAAAAGATTGCCCAAACGGTGCAGACGAATCATCGGAACGTTGTCACATTGTCTGCAGACCTGATCAGTTCCAATGCGAAGATCATTATACTTGCATATCAGGTATATACCTCCGTACAGTATGCATATTGTTTGATAAACTGAATAATGGATTCTATAAGTCATGATCAACTCTTGTTTTCTTAAATCTGATATAGAATGCAATTGTATACGAAATGTTATAATGAAATCCTTCATTAAAATATTTCAGGCCACCTGTTCTGCAATGGCAAAGCAGAATGTGCCGATGGAAGTGACGAAAAGAACTGTACAAGTAAAACAGTCACTTGTGATCCATTGACTCAGTTTCAATGTAGCGAAGGCTCCTGTATTCCCATGTATAAGGTTTGCGATAAGAATCGGGACTGCATTGGCTGGGAAGATGAGAGTTCTGAGCTTTGTAATGTAAACGAATGTCTGGACAAGAAAGGTGGATGTTCTCAACTTTGCATCGACTTACCCATTGGTTTCCGATGCGATTGCCTTCCTGGCTATAGGTTAATCGATAACCGAACATGCGATGGTAAGACAAACTCACAACAAATTGATGTGCCATAAAATTGAATAATTTCTGTAGTGGGAAAGTATGTATATTATATATATTTTATTTCAGATATAAATGAATGTCTGGAACCAGGTAGCTGTTCTCATTTCTGTCTGAATGAAAAAGGCACTTTTAAGTGTAGTTGTGCTGATGGTTATCTCAAAGATCATAGAAATCACACTCGCTGCAAAGCATCAGAAGGTCATGCGAGTCTTCTCTTCACCAGACGGCATGATATTAGGAAAGTAGCTTTGGATCGACAAGAGATGACAGAAATAGTAAACAATACAAAGATGGCAGCAGCTTTAGACTTCGTGTTCCGTACGGGTATGATCTTTTGGAGCGACATAAGTGAAAGAAAGATCTACAAGTGAGTAGTGGTTTGTTTAAATCTGATTGGTAATTCTCTTTTAAACATTCCTTACCAATTGGTACAATTTTACAGAGCTCCGATAGATGAAGGTAACGAACGCACAGTTGTCATTGATGATGGTTTAACAACGTCAGATGGTCTTGCTGTTGATTGGATATACAATCATATTTATTGGACTGATTCTGAAAAGAACACCATAGAATTGGCCAATTTCGAAGGTAACATGAGAAAGACTCTCATAAAGGACCATGTGCAAGAGCCTAGAGCAATTGCTCTAAATCCCGCAGAAGGGTGGATGTTCTGGACTGATTGGAGCGATGAAGCTCGTATTGAAAAAGCTGGAATGGATGGTTCCCATCGAATGGTAGCTTTAAAAAATAATTTAAATGTTATAAATTACTGGAATCAAAGACAAGACTAGTAACGAGCTATATTATTACAGGTAATAGTGGATAATGATGTGAAATGGCCAAATGGACTGACCCTGGATTTAATAGGTAAAAAAGTGTACTGGGTAGATGCAAAATTAAACATAATTGGATCATGTAATTATGACGGATCAAATAAACGAACGGTTCTCTATTCTCCCGAATCGCTGAGACACCCGTTCAGTATTACAACATTTGAAGATTACGTGTATTGGACTGACTGGGATAAAGAAACAATATTCAGAGCTAATAAATTTACTGGTAAAGAAGTGAAACCCGTCACGTCAGTTCATACCGCGCAGCAGCCGATGGTCGTTCACGTATACCATCCATATAGACAACCGGATGGAATTAATCAGTGTCAGGCTGTGAATGGACATTGCAGTCATTTATGCTTGCCAGCACCGAAAATTAACTCAAAATCGCCTGTTCTTAGTTGTGCTTGCCCGGATGGTCTGAAATTATTACCCGATGGTTTGATGTGCGTAGAAAAGGGTAAGCCAAATAAAGTGTTGTTATTTTTAATCCTAACAGAGCAACGTGCATTGGTTTCATATGCAGTGAATGAAGGACGTCAAATTGTACGTCTTGCATGTTACAAGAATAATTTAACGCTTATGGTACAGATTCATGAGATATTCTAAGGATGGCATGTACAAGATTTTATCTTGATTTCATATTATTTCATTATTATATGCAATCTATATTATCAACATTTCCATTCTGTTTCATTATACAATTTCTATTTCAACGCATTGCATTTATTATTTGATTACTTATATTATTTTGCATCGATGTTGCATGAATATGGGATATTCCAGTAACTACAACTGTAGCACCTACAACGCAAGAAAGTAGTAAACCGTTCAAGAGACTTGTACCGCACAACGTTACCACCACTACTGACCGTAAGTACATTTACACGGCTATTAATATAATTACATATATTTGCATTATTTATAGATCATGAATGTTTGGCTTTGGCTTATTTTTTTTGAATATGTAATTGTTATAATAATAATACTAATAAGATATTAATAATAATCATGATGTAGGATTTAAGTATTTGCTTATATATATATATATATATATATACTAGTTTATAGCATTTACCTATATATTAATTTATAGTTCAATCTTAACAGTTAGAATTTTTCTATTTTCTAACACAGCATGGTTCATATGACATGTTCACTTTTTCATCACATTTGGGAAACAAGCTTATTCTAGTATCTTCTGTTCAAGAAAACGTACTAAAAGTACAATGGTAGGAAAAGTCACGGGTAGCAAAGTTATTTTTTTTTGTCAACCACATTGTCTTCTTTATTGGTATCCCTTGCATAATCTTTTAGAAAACTCACCCGTTTTTATCAATCTTTTCAATTTATTTACCGTACGTTATTTACAAATTAATGTTTGCTCGTAGATCCGTCACATTCGACAGATGGAGATGGAAAAGATGGTCTTGCGGCCGAATCAACGGATGCTGGTTTAGTTGCCGGTATAGTGATAGGCGTGGCGTCTTTTGGACTGTCACTCCTTGCATTAGTAGCAGTATTGTGCTATAGGCATTATCTTCATCGTAACGTCACGAGTATGAATTTCGATAATCCTGTGTATAGGAAAACCACTGAAGATCAATTTAGTCTTGAGAAAAATAGGTTTCCACTCCCCACTGCTACTGTTGGAGAAGAGGTAATTACTCAGTTTGATGTGTCACACAATACGTAGAATGTGTCATATTTTTCTACTTATACAAATTTATATAATAATTTATTTGATATGTATTTAACACCTGTTTTTTAATACTTTAATTTCCATAGGCTCAGGAGCCATTAACGAGTCCTGGAACTAATGATTATGTTTAAGATTCAATCTATTGATGAAACGGGCTTAGCAGGCTGTTGAAATAATGTCGACCAAATAACAAAAAGAAATCATATGTAAAAAATGATGAAACGCACTAACGTCGAGGAAGCCTATTTAATAGTATACCTGCGTTTGCCTGCCTGCCTGCCAACTCAGCTGTGATTATGTTTACTTTTTTTGTTTTTGTACTGTGCCTATTTGTTTACAAATTTAAGCATCTCCTCATTCAACTATACTGTACCTACATGTATATGCAACATTTAGATTTGCTCTGAGGCATAAAGGGAAAAATGTCTAGGTGAACTGTAATTGTTGCCAAATAAGCGTCACAAGAGCGCCCATTTTCAAGTAGTTAAGTAAGGTACCAGAAATTCCTACTGTGTAATGTTCTCTCTTCGGTTTACAATGCGTAATGTGTAATATAGTGCTATTTATCACACTAATGTGGGGTCACGTCGCATATATGTTTAAATTTATATAAATATATATACATAGAATATTTTTATCTACATGTAAGATCTTTAACTTGTTATTGTTTCACTATTTATTCTGTAAGAGTATACATACTCAAGTATAATTTTCAGTTAGATATTTAGATACTGTTGCATAATTAAAATCACATGTATATAAAACACAAATTCAAAGTGTATCATAGAAATAATTTTTAAAATCATTAGTAACAATATTGAATTATCGAAAACCTTTACAGGTTCTTTATGAATTTGTTAAATTATTTATAATACATTTTAAAATGTATATTATAAAA